CGGGAGCAGCAGGCAGTGAAACCACTGAGCTAAACCCCCGGCCCTACAGTCCTACTTTCGATTTCCTCTTTGCCCTCTTGGGTTATTTACTTTCCCAAGTTTTGTGGGATTTTTGAGATGTCTTCATGTTTTTGATTTCCATTATGATCAAAGCAAAATATTTTATAATACTTCAGTCTTGTTGTTGTGGTGGTGGTACTGCAGGTTGAACCCAGGGCCTTTGCCCTGAGCTTCATCCCCAGAACTTTTTGCTTTTTATTTTGAGACGGGGTTTGTCTAAGTCATCAACTGGCCCAGCTCAGCTTTGCTGAGCTCAAACTTGGGATCCTCCTGCCTCAGCCTCCCATAGTGCTGGGATTACTGGTGTGCCCCACCATGCCCTCCTACTTTACTATTATAGACAGTACCTGGCCCCGGCCTGTTCCTTCCTTCAGTTGGCCAATCCCACCTTTTAATTAGAAGGCTTAATCCCTTCGCCTTTCCCTGTATTTGTGGAAACAACTAGACATGTGTTCACCGTCTTATGCCTTGTATTCTGTCTGTCCTTTCTCTCTTTCTTTGTTTCTTTCTTCCTTCCTTCCTTCCTTCCTTCCTTTCTCTCTCTCTCTCTCTGTCTCTCTCTCTCTCTTTCTTTCTTTTTGTACCAGGGATCGAACTCGGGTCCTTGCACTTGTGAGGTAGGCGTCAGAACCACTGATCTAAATCCCTGGCCCTTCTGTCTGTCCTTTCTGACTCCTGTTCTCCAGCTGTTCCTTTACTGCCTTTTTAAAAGCTTAATTCAATATAATCTTAATGTTCCATTTCTTTTTTTTCTTCTTAATGTTCCATTTCATTTCCTTGTGGCTCCTTACACAAACCTTTAAAAAGCCTTTTCTCTGAACATGATTACAGATTGCTGGGAAGTTTCCAAAGCAGTTTCCCGTGGTCCTGAGCATCCTTCACCGGTCTCCCCTGCTGCTAATCAGTGTTTGGATGTCACTTTGGGCCCAGCTGGAGGAAAGGGGACGCTGTGAAAGGAGGGCTGAGCTGGAGCTGAGTGGGAGAAGCACCTACCTGGCCTGCAAGGTCCTGGGTTCCATCACCCGCACTGCCAAAAAAATGTTAGAGCCAGCCGTGGTGGCACACCCCTGTGATCCCAGCACTCAGGAGGCTGAGGCAGGAGGATTGCTGTGAGTTCGAGGCCAGCCTGGGCTACATAGCGTGACTGTTTTTCAAGATAAATAGAAAGAGAAAGGGGATAAGAAAGGCACCACTACCATCCCCAAACAAAGAGCCACAGCTAATAAACTGACAAAGAAGACAGAATGGAATCATTGAAAAGTACTTGATGGGCTGGGAGTTTAGCTCAGTGATACCAGGTCTGCCTTGCAAGCTCAAGGTCCTCAGTTCAAGCCCCAGTACCAAAAGAGAAGTACTTGATTAATCTGGGCATGGTGGTGCATCCCTGAAATCCCAGCACTTGAGAGGCTGAGGCAGGAGGATTCCAAGTTTCCGCCCAGCAAGAGACTTAAAAAAAATACTCTTCCTTTTTTTTTTTTTTTTGGTATCAAAGATTGAACTCAGGTTTATGCGCTTGTGCAGCAGGCAGCGAAACCACTGAGCTGAATCCCCGGCCTTAAAAATAATGCTAATAAGAGACAAATATTTAGCTCAGCAGCACGGCGCTTGCTTGGGAAGCACAAGGCCCTGAGATCAATTGCTGGTTTAAAAAAAAACACCTCCCCACCAAAATAATAATAATGCTGGGAATGTAGCTCAGCGGTAAAGCTCTGGGTTTCATTTGTACTGAAAAAAATCAAAATAAAAAGTTACCTTTCTTCTCCTGCTCAAAGATAGGACTTTCCATTCTCCAAGACAGGGTGTCACTGTGTGGTTCAGGCTGGCTTTGAATTCACAGCAGTCTTCCTCCCTCAGCCTCCTGAGTGCTGGAATTATTCCAGGCAGGTGCCACCGTACCGGGCACTGGCCAACATCTTACGTTTAAGTGCTTTGTGAGGTGGATGCCCAGAATATATCCTTGGAAGCAGATTTCTGGGAATAAAAGCAAACACAGAGCATGGGGTCGCATGCCTTTCAGCCCAGCTACTTGGAAAG